TGTGTTAGAATAGACTCAGAGAGAGAAATTAAAGATGATCAGTATATCCTATGTTTAAGCCTCTCGTGTTGCAGGAGTCACTTTCAAAGTGATTCAGAGCATCTGAGCTCATTAAATGTTAATCAAAAAATCTATTTTCAGAACACTTTGAGATCAGTCATGAAGATTTCAGGCCAGTTACAGCAGGAGGCCACTGCTTCTGAGAGCTGTGTGAACTGGACTGGACTTTTCTAATGGAAATGCTGAAAACCGGATTTCAGTTTGTTCTTTTCTCTCCAGCGAAGATGGTTTTAATAAACCTCAAACTCCAACCTCTAACCTTGATCTTGAGGTCCATTTTTCTTGAAACAAATTTAAATGCCACAAAGCAGGAGGAGAGCAACCCCTTTATCACAACAGCTTTTGCAACACATGCACCCTCCTTTCCATTATTCATGATGTGTTTCCGCCATGAGCCGTTCTCTTGTCTCTCTTGTTCAAAACAAGAATGAACCTGAACTGCCTGCACCAGAGGGGCTCTTTAAGTCTGCTTTTGGAAACATTAAAATGTCCAGTTATGCCTAAGAGTTGAGATCACAAGGAAAAAGAGTTAATTGAGTGCACATTTACAATTTAAATGAAACCGTACACGTCTCTGTGCCCCCTATAATAATCTAACATCAAACAGGTGTAGTAGCAGAGAAGAACGTTATCATCTGTTGGAAACTTCAATCTCGGAATTTAAATTTTTGAAAACATTTTCACCATTCATCCATTTTCTACACCTGCTTGTCCATGTGGGAATAGACCTGGTGCTCTGTCCAGTACACCCTGTGAGTGGCCAGTTTATCACGTTCCACACACATACACACACCTCAGAGCAATTTAAAGTAACCAATTAAACTTATAGTTGTAATTTTGGACTGTGGAGGAAGCCGGAGTACCCAGACCAGGATTGTTAGATGCTCAGATTTGCTTCTGTCTCCTGATTGTTTGTTTATTTTTATTTTGGCATTTTTGACGTTTCAGTTGGGGTGTATGATGATCCACAGCGCCCCAATTATTAGGCCTAACGACAATTTCGTAATGTGTGAAATCAGCATTTGAAAACTGAAGTGTTTTTACTTAGATTATCTTTGATTTTAAAAATTGGAGTTCCAATTCTCTTAAGTTTGACACAAAAAAGAGCAAAAACAGAAGTCTGTGAGCAGACACATACTTTTTTTTGCACTATAGCAAAAACAAAACGCTGTACTTTTCTGCCTTTAGCATTAAGTTAAAACTATTTTAATTCTGTAATGCATTCAGACCGTGGGTGTTTTCAAGGGTGTAAACAAGCACTAAGGCTTTACAGTTTCTGAAAGTGCTGGTGGAGCATTACTAATATATTTTTTCATGTTGTGGAGAAACAAAAGCATGATTTGATGTTCGAGGCGGCTGAGAACAAACAAGTGGAGGTTTAATACTTTCACTGTGAATCACTTACTTGTAAGTAGCCTAGTAAAACAGATGTTTTCAAATTAAGATAAATGGATGTACGTAGATTATTCTTCAATAATTCCTGAAAAGTCACAGAATCTATGAACTAACAAAAAAAATTGAAAGGAAAACAATCCAAATAATGTATTTATTAGCTTTTTTTTAATGTGACATAAATAAAATATGACTTTTACACATATTCAATATTTTTTTCTTATCTCTCGGACAATCTTTGGTCACAAAGTACAGTGAGTAATCTGTTACCAGATCCCTGTTTAAGGAAATTCTACAATGAGATTTCACAATATTTAAACATTTTTCTGCAGTAACTGTCCCAATGAAGGTAAATGATTAAAATACCACTAAGAATGTGAGGGTTTACAAAACTGATACTAGAAACTAAACATCCAAAGTTATTTATTACTTGCTGTACATTACAATTCATTATTTAATGCTTCAGCTGTTCTTGGGACCCATATTTTAAGGTTTCCTGACTGTTGTACTGTGATGTGCTTCTGCATTCACTGATCTGTGATTTGATTTTACAGAGTTTGGGCAAGCTAAGCAATTTAAAGACCTCCGATCAGAATATCAGCTAATCAAGCTGCTTTCTGCTGCAAACTAAACATTAAACATGCCTACTTGCTTCTTCTTAAAGCTGCTTTTAACCAACTTTACATTTTTTACGCATCATCTGCATTAATCATTGTTGATATTGTCACCGATGCTGTTCTCTTCAAAGGTCATCTGCTCCCTCTGGAATTGTTTGGCTTCACCTGAAAGAGCAAATATATGGACATGTTTAATATTTAGATGTTTTTCCAGAAACATTTTTACCCACTTTTCCAATTTATATTTTCAAACAAAAGTGCAGGGCCACCCTATGTATATTAACAGCTGACTACCACTAAAGCCCTCTGTAAACGTGAGTTATAGCAATTTGCTGCATAGCTAAGCTAACATTAGCATGTTAGCGCTTGAGAATAACTTGTAAAACATTTAAATACAGCTTCAGTTAACTGTGAGCAGTAAAAACGTAAAGCAAAATTCATTCTTCTGGTTTATAAACAGCAGCCATTACAGTTGCTCTTTACCTGTGGATATCATTGTAAAATGAGAACAATTTTTAGATTGACATGGAAAACTCAGTTTTTATTTGTAAGTTTTAAACCTCACTGCACTTCAGTTGCGGGAAGTAGTGGGAAAAGAGTTTTATTAAGAAATCCAAGACCAATTGTCAGTCAATACCAAATAATAACAGATACTGTTCAAGAATGTAAAAAAAAAAAGAAAGAAGAAAAGAAAACTAAGAAAAATCTATTAAATTTAACCAGTTGGGAGCGGTTTGCTGAAGTAGTTGGCCGTCAATAGATTACTTTCGTTTTGAAATAACCTGTTGGTAATTTGGCTCTTCTAAACAGTGCTAGTTAATAGTGTGTGCAATAAACGTGCACCTTGAATGATTAAACATTTAATGAGCAGATGACATCACACAGGCAGTATGTTGTAAATGGTGGAAAGTACTTTAATTACTAAGGAAAACTCTGGTTTGTTAGAGCAACAAAATAACGCGCTTGACTTAAAATACAGCTTTGTTAGCCTTGCACTCAAAAAAGCAAGTTGAATGAAAAACGCTCATTAGAGACAGACGGCTTACAGGCAGTACGCCAACAACATATTTTGAAAATGACGGGTTTTTTTGTTCTCTGATATCCGTCTTTTAAAAATGCTCTGATAGGAACCCAACCTCCAATACTATTGACACTCCCTATTAACCCAATGTTTAGTGATCACATTATGTCAAACACTCTGATGTACTTGTTGCATATTTTAGTGTTTTGTAAAAGAATATGACTGACCCATAACAAACAGCACAGTCAAACTTAGTAACTCTACTCAACAACAAAATATCATTGGTTCTCATAAAAAAGCTTTGTGAGATGCAGACCTTAAACCTGGACAGTAATTCTATTAGATTCAAGGGATAAAACTTTATTGTCCACTGAGGTGGAAATTTCTCTGCAGCTCGCCAAACAAAGTAAAAAAAAATTATATGCAATCACAATTTCATAAAATTTTTAAATGCAAACACAGTTGCTGCAGCAGCAGAGGTAATGCAGGCTTGGCGTGTAATGAAGTGCAGAATTTGCAGAATTCTCTCTGGCGGTGAATCATCTTAATGCAATGTTTGCCAGCAGGTGGAAATGAATCAAATTTGTTCCTACAGTGAAACTGACAACAAACAGTGATACTGCTCTCCTGTATGCAGGTTGGACTATAATCAGAGCCATTTCGTTTCCATGCAGCTGCCACATTAAAACATGGCAGGACAAGTTTGCTTTTGTATGCATAAACAACAATCAGAGATTAACAGTAAGCTGTTTGTTTCTAATGTGTTGTTGTCAATAACGTATCATCTTCAGATGAAGATTAAGATTTATTATTTAGCGAACAAGTTCATAAAAATAATTGGTTCAGAGTGTTGCTTTGCTAATGGATAATAGTTTTGTGGAGTACAGCAGAGTGACTGGAGATGTGAGTCATGCTACATGTTCATGCGTAAATGAAGACATGAGCATGGCACAAAAGGAAATCAGATATCTGCACCAGCATGTTAAGCAGAATCTCAGCCACAAAGGAAACTCTGCCATCTAACCAAGCACAATGGTGGAAAATATAATGTATGCAAATGAGGGAAACAGACAAAGAAGCTATTCTTCCCTTCCACAGTCTGTATCAGATTCCTAACCATCTTCTCATCCCATCCACTGCCTCAAACTACATAATCAAACGCGTCTTTATTGTCTCATATCTGTCCTCCAAATGTTTAAATATGATTCTTATTTGAAATTATCTATTAATTTTATGTGATTGGGAGATTTACAGTTATGTAAATACATAATTTTTATGATCTTGTTGCTTTCATTCACAACGAACAGCAATAAATTCTATGTTATTAGAAAAAATTATAGCATAAAAACCTGCTATATTTGGTAGTAATTATCAGAACCTCAGTAACCAGATATATTGTTTTTTATTGTGCTGGGAATTTATAGTGTTATAGTCATTTTTTGTAGATTGTTATTACTAATACATCTAAAGAATAACATATGTTATTCTTTCAGCTAATAACTTTTTTATCATTTTACCACAGTAAATGATTAAGCTAAAATTATGGATGTCTATTACAATAATTGATTCATCATAATTAATCATTTCAGTGCCACTTAAAATTGTAGGAACTTTTAAAAAGAACTTTCTTGTGGTTTTGAAATTGTAATTTTTTAAAACCTTTCTATATCTTGATCCTTGTAACCACCCAGTGCATAATATGGGTAAAAAAAAAATCAAAACTGTATTTGTAAAAAAATCTGTATTATACCGGTAAATAGGTCTTCTGTCAAAAAAAGCCTCTTCCTGAATTTCACTAGTTGGTCAAATTTCCTACTTCTAAAAGCAGTGACTCAAACTGCAAAATTAAATGGAAAATGGATTGACTGAATGTTTGGATTGCTAATATGTTATTCTTTTGTGTGTTGCAGCTTCAAGGATCTCTGCGAAGGAAAATGGAAGGAAACACGCCAGGACTGAAGCAGAACGGCCTCTCTTGTGGATTTTCAGGATCCGACTTTAAGCGTGTCCGTTTGGACACAGGTGGCCTGGGTCACGGTTCCTGCAACCACAACTTAACCCGCCCTCTGCAAGGGTCCTCAACCATTGGCTTGCAGAGGAAGAACTATATGATGCCCCATGGAATAGGGTCTGACATGTTCAACATGACTCTGAAAGAAATGAAAAAGGAGCCCCAAGAGATTCAGTCTTGTGGCCACTCAAACTCTGAGATGATTTTCGACTTCAAAGAAGAAGGTAATGGGCAAATTGACCCAGAACTCCAGGAGCTGTTTGATGAACTGACAAAGTCGGTGCCTCCTCTGAATGATCTTGAGTTCGAGAAGATTCTAAAGCAGGACGATACCTTCGGTTTGGATCTAGGTCGGCCAAATTCAGCAGGAGCAGCAGCCACTCTGTGTTCCCCGGTGGACAAGGTGATAAAGACGGAGCACTCGCAAGATTTCGGACAGGGCCACAATGGTTCACCGCAGCTTCGACCGGCTTCAGCAGGTCCCTCGTTCACACTGAACAGCACCGCTTCTACCAATACGTTACAGAAAGGCAATGCCCAGGCCGGACACAACAGAACCTTGCCCTGCTGGCCGGAAATATCCCATGCACAGCAGCTCAAGCAGATGGCGGCAAACCAGCAGCAACCAGGTGCTCTTCTACATCACCAGCATCAGACCCAGCATGTAGGAATGACCAGCTGGGCTACAACCATGAGCCCTCAACCTACCACCAGCAGCTTCGCCAAAGCAAAAGTCTCTAACCAGGCCACACTCAACCAGCAGAAGATGGGCTCCCATAATAAAGGCATCAGCAACTGCCTGTTTAAGTCAAATGGGCACAATGGCTCCCATCAGTTAGACATGAAAGGTCTCAGTTCCAAGCCCACGTTGCACTTCAGCCCCAAAGTTTCTCATTCCACCAGTCAGTCCATGTCTATCATGACAAACTCGATGACCAAGACGGAGCAGCATCAACAATCACCATCACCGAGCCAGAACCAGGCACATTCAGCTCTCCATTTCCAGAACCAACAGATCTCAACGTCGAGTGCCGTCTGTTTGCAACCCAAGTCGGTTTCTGCTGGGCTGCCATTCAGAATGTCTCAACAGCAACAGGTAAGCTCTTTAGTCAGGTATTATTTCCTCTTCAAGATTATAAAATGTAGATTTAAGCTTGAAAACTTCAAGACTAGAATGAAAAATGATACAATTCATTTAATTCTACTACACATGAAATACTTTTCACAAATGGAGCAGAGCTGATTGTCCTTATCAAGAACAATTGGATTAAGTCAAGTGTGTTTCCACTTCAGCACATTTCAGCAGCAAGGCAGTTCAAAGTGCTTTACACCATAAAAACATAATACAGTATTTAATTATGAAACAGCAAAAACATTAGATTTTGTCAAATGCCATCATCAAAATCATCAAGCAAATATACATCAAATACATTGATCAAATCCCCAGTTATTAAGAATCAAATGCAGCTCTAAGTAAATGGGGTTTTAGCCTTGATTTAAAGGAACTGTGTTTTGGCTGTTTTACAGTTTTCTAAAAGTTTGTTTCATAAAAATGCAAAACAGTTTTTAATTACATGGCTGTTTATGGAAGCTTTAATTGACAGCACCCTGGACTTCTTTGACACGTAGTACAGCACTAGAGTCACTTTCACCCAGTGGCACTCGCTTTCATCCATCGATATGCAGCCTGGGATTTAGAGCCTTGTTTGGTGCACACCTACATGTGGGCACACCCAGAAACTTCGGACAACAAAATCTCTACTCTTCCCACTGAGCCACAGTGGCCACTGTCATCAAATACTGGTGTCTTACAAATACCAGTGGATCTTACACTGCTAATTCCTAACATGATGCTTAGGCCAATTTAAAATATCAACTCTTTGTATTTTTTTTTAATATTAGAAAAATTTATTGAACACTCACTGGAAAAGAATTTGAAAAAGCAAAGAAAAATTATTATTTGACTGCAAATACAGATATCTTCTTTTATCCTTACTTTATTTGTCATAAAGTTTAAACATTTACACCCATGTCGGTATGCTGAGTGCTTGAAAATTAAGTCAAATTCCTTGTTTTTTCACTCAGTCTTGGCCAACAAAGCTATTCGGATTCTGATGTTACTTTTGCTCCTATTAAAAAAAAAATTAATGGTGGCAGAAAAACTGGAAAAATGTATTCATGTCATTACATGTTCCCATTTCAGTTTTTAAAGAGAATTCCCAATCAGTCAGTACTGACAGGTTAATTTAATACATTTAATACATATTTTTGAAAGCGCCTTTCCCGGCGCTCAAGGGTGCCATACTAAATACACAAAATCCATTAAAAGAAATAATAAATGAAAAAAATCACTTGAATAGATTCATTTTTGTGCTCTAGTGAATGATGATGCCACAGATTACTAATTAGATGTTTTCTGAACATTGATTATTGTAAAATGAAAAGGAAAAATTACAAAAATGCTTCAGTTACATTTATTTGCCCCACCAACATTTTTGATTTCTGATTTCTTAATTTTTAACCTAAACTTAGAAGTTAGATTGTTGTCAGTTTTTAATGTATTGAAAAGTAGATGAATTCTATTTTTTTTTCTCACAGAGAAGCTAGTCAGTGAGCAGTGCACAGAATGTAACGCCAATGGTTAAGATAAGAGGTTACAATTACATCCGTAATCTGTAGTGTTGCTATGAAACTCATATAAAAGCCATTTGAAAGCAAAATCACACACATAGGTACAGTAAAAGTAACACACTTCTTAGTCAGACTTCATATTTGGAGTCGTCTTGCCTCGGTTTCCCCCGTTTTGCAGCTGCCTCAGATAGCTCTAATGTAGGTCTGTTTGTTTTGGGACCTGCTCTTCCTAATGTCTGTGCCTTGGCTGCTGCGACTCCCTTCGAAACGTCTGTCCCCTGCAAGTGTTTTGACGTTGACACAGATTGCCAGAGCATGGCGAATTAACATGCAGGACTTCTAATTTCTTTGCTTGTCGCGGTGGCTCCCTGTCAGGGCGCAGATATGCGCAGCGGGATTTGCTAATTGGAGGTTGTTAGCTACAAGGGACAAGTGGTGGAAAATGACAGTAATCTTCTTAGCCTGGTGCCGGAGGTTGAATCGCTGATTTGTTATGATTGGAGGAGATTTAGACTGTCCCTTCTTTCATTTTATGCGCCAACACTATCTGCGACTGCCTTTGTGTGAAATGATAATGTGAGCCACACAGAAAGCTCTTGCAAAGTGTGCAGATCAAGGGAAGTTGCCTGCGCGACCGGGGGAGGATGGGAGAAGGAGGAGAAAAGGAAGGGAGTTTTAGGCATCGAAGTAAACAAGAGCGAGTGGCAAATCATGCTTTAACGCTCTTCATCTACTATCTAGATGTTCTTCAGTAAATAACTTCCTGCAACGTGTTTTAAAAACTGTCCTCCATCCAAGCTATATACATAAAAAATTAAAAACTGATCAAATTATTAAAATCACACAAGAAAAGACGTGAAAGAGGGAAGACAGACAATAACGAGATTGCTTACAATTTGTAAAAAAATAAAATTATAAAATAAATTAATTCCTTAAAAACATACATTTGTAAACTACAAATTCAAATAAAGAAGGAAAAGAGACACACACAAAAAAATAAATATATATATATATACACACACCTGTATATGTTATTCATCAGGATAGCATTGCATTCATTCAGCATCAGAATAATGGAAGTACAAGAATATGTTGTTACCAACTTCATATTCAGAGATTGACCAACACAATGATTGCTACGCTTTTCAAAGTTTTCTGGAAAAGTCAACATGATGATGTCACGACTTTGGAAGCTTCTGATCCCACATTTTCGGTAATTGAGGTAAATATACAATGCATGCAATGTGTGCCTCCAAATATACTGCATCTGGTTTATCTTTATGTACGATTTCCAGATGCCTGACGGCGCCACAGTTATCTGATTAAACCTTTATATTAAAGCATAAAGCTTATAGAAATCATACAGAAATAGAGGTGAAAATGCCCCAAGAGATATTTCAGTCTGTCAATGTAGACTAAACATGATTAGGATAAGAAACTAGAAATACGGCTAAGTTAACAAAACACATGCAAGTTTTATTAAAGTTTTAAGTACAAATATAAAAATGTGTATTTTTTCCATTAACTTCAGAAAGTGAAACTCATAAAATAGATCCACTACATATTAAATGAAATATTTCAAGTCGATTTTGATGATTATGGCTTACAGATAATGAAGGCTCAAAAGACTGTCTCAAAAATGTACAATGTTACTCAAAAAGTTAGAAAATGATGTTTTAAACAGAAATACGAGGCTTCTGAAAAGTATGCTCAGTTTGATACGCTCAGTTCTTGGGCAGGAATCGTTTAGCATGTTACCACATTAATGTGCTGTGGTATGGAAGAGATCAATTATATCACCTGCGTGGATGCCTTTTCCTACCACACTTTTTCCTTCCACTCAACTTTTACACAACAACCAAAATTTAGGAGACGCTGAATTTTGGATCTTTATTATCTGCAAGCCATAATAATCAAAATTACAATAAATAAAGGGTAGAAATGTTTTACTCTAAGTGCAATAATTCTATATATTTCAGTTTCACAATATTTATATATTTTTAGCTGCACTTGTAAATTGATAAGCACATATTTAAAAAATTATAGAATAAAGTTATTACACTTATGGAAAACAGAAAAAAAAAATGTTGCAGATATCTGCCCAGTCCATTAAATTTAATTTCAGCTCATATGAAATTAAATTTGGTGCTGAGCTTCTGAATTTACAGCAAACTGGAGGCAGAAGATGGAAACTGTTATCCAAACACGCTGTGGGATTCCAGCGATACAGCCATAGCGAGTCGTTTTACCAGCATGTCAGAGCCGCCAGAGGCAGGATATTCAGTTTGACCTGATTTTTAAATGCAGCAGCCTCGTGTGCGACGAGAGCTAAAAGAGAGAGGTACAGAGAAGCTCTTTCTATTTTATGACATTTCCATCTCACCGACAGCAACAGCAGCTGCCGTTGCTCGTTCCTCGCGCTGACACGGCTCGAATGCTTAGCTGGGACAATAGGAGGAGACCTGTCAACACGGACGTCATCCGCAACAATCCTGACAATCGTCAAAGTGATGTCTGGGTTATCCGGGATTTTGGATATGTTGTGTCAGTTTTCATTGAACAATACAGATTTTTACTGATGTCATTACAAAACTTTGAGCAGTCATTTGACCACTTTTCTACTGTCTTAATTTTTTCAGCCGCACAGAAAGGAAGGTTTTAAACAGTATATTTAAACATCTGGCTTGAACTGTAATATTTAGTCTGTTGGAAAGAATAGATTATAGTAGGGCTGACGGGGTTTCCAATATTATTGGTGGAAAAAAAATTCACATTTTCAGACATAGTCCATTTCTCTTTTGTCGCTACAGTCCAACTTTTAATATTTTTGGCATCATTATCTGTGCCATGCAGATCTAGATGACAAATATATAGAACTGTATTATTTTAATTTTTACAAGATGAAATGATTCCAGAATACAAATAAAAACTAACGCATCATTAAAAAAGCCTTAAAAATGTACTTTGAAAAAGTAGACCAAAAAAAGCCAGACTCTTCCAAAGCCCTTTGAATAACCTCAGGACTTAAGATATTGATGTTATGAGACTGCAGTTAAGTTCAAAGGGGGTAAAGTTTCTGGGACATCTTCCCCTAGGACCTTGTATTTTCCATGAGCTTTTTTGTTTTGAACAAATTATGCAAACACAGTGCTCATATTGAAGTTGAAAAAGTAACAGACAAAACAAACAAGAGCCGCATTGTAATTTTCGAGCATCTGTTCAAAAATGCAGATAATAGTGTTTGTCTATCGCAGCCAGCTGGGACAGGGTTAAAAATCTAGCTAATGAGGAAAAGGAAGGGAAAAAAAAGAGCAAAATCTTTTCCGAGCTGAATTAATAATGCCAGAGAAATAAAACTCCTGAAAGAACAGCTTGATCCCTCTGTGTAACAACAGTGACCAGCAGTGGACTTCCTTGCGCTGGACAAATCTGTGAACCTTCATTTGAACCAACACAGATTGGTGTTTATTTAAGACTTTTAATAGTTTTATTTCTAATATTCACTTTCTGAATTATGTTTTGTGATTTTTAGCGTTACTGTGCCTATTCATTCCTTATTGTTTACATGAAAGCAGGGCTGGTCAATAACTGTTTGAGGCCCTATGCAGAATTTAAATTGGGGGCTGTCTTCCAGTTGAAACCGTAAATTAATAATTCACAACTGTATTTTTCCTGTCATACAAAAATATATGTGCTTGTGCACAGTATTCAAAATAAGAAAGATGAGAAGACTTCTCATTTGAGTAAGGCAGATGGTTGTTAGTCTTTATACTCGGTTAGAAAGAGCGTCTTTAATAAACGTGTAAGTCAGGGACTCAAAAATGTTTGTTTTTCCAATCTGTGAATGCACCACAATAAGCACTTTCAGGTCATGCTGACACTTAAAACTCTTCGGTGTGAAATCTATTACTGAGTGAAATAGACTTGATGTCAAGTCAGAGGAAGCTCTGAGATATAAGAATCAATGTAAAGAAAATTGTTTCTGCACTGACATGACCAGAGTTCATTTGGTTTCAGACACAGCGAGTGTTTCCACACCCAGCAGAATAGGTTCAATTGGGGTTCATTTGTTGTGTCTTCAAATGAGTCAGTTCTCTTTCACAACTTCACCGTGTCACACTTTGATTTAAACCCTTTGAAAAATCTGTTTGCCTGTGGTGGCGCTGCACCAGGAAATTATAAAGGAAATGACACAAAAACCTCTGAAGAAGACATGAGCGCAAGTAAAAATGTAAACAAAAATGGAGTAGAAATTTTCCGTTGTCTTTGGCAAAAAACCATGAGCCATTTTTCCCGCTATCGATAGACTCTTGTTTGTTTAACTTGTATTTACCCAGAATACCCGGTTCACTTCCTGCTTTTGGAACAGTCTCCAGTCCAATTGGCATTCAGATTTATACCACACCAAAGTTCACTCCAGTTGATCTGAGATCTACAGTAGGTGGACCAGAGTTCACTTTTTTGTCCACATCAGTGTTCAGTTGCACTTCCACACCTCTGTCAATAAACCAGACTATATAGACAAACAAACTTGAGTTTGATTAAAACAGACAAAACCGGACAGCTGTAAATGCACCTTGATACTTTCAGCAGTGAGACATATTACCGAACAGCGAACTGTGTTGTAGTTCTTAAAGATGAGAAGTAACAGGGTTTGCTCTTACCCATCGTCAAAATGGGAAGGTCAAAAGAACAAGGCATTCAAGTAATGTGTGTTGATCTTTACAAGTCAGGAAATGGCGACAGGGTACCTGCCAAAACTTGTCCATATGTCCTAAACATTTAGCTGATGATCTTGTGGCACCACCTCCTTCAGTAAGACTGAGAGCAGGGCCCAGTGGGTTGAGCCTGCAGGTCACTCTGGCAGCACTGTGAAGGGAGTACTTGTTTCCTGGGAAAGGGAGCCGCGGCCAAGTCCAGATGCCGAGGCCCTCCCCAGGGATAGCATCCTGAGAAGACTGGAGGAAGTGCAGTGTGAGAGCAGGCGAGGCCCGCGCAGCCGCAGGATGAGGGGCTAAATCACTCGGCTCTCGAGCCTGAGCCACATGTGGTATTCATTTAAAACAAGCTTGGGAAGAATAAAAACGGGAAAGGGGGGTTAGGGGGCACGGAAAACAGCTTTATGACACATCAGGATTAAAGGATAACCGAGTAGAGCTAAAAACACCCCTTCTTTGGATATTTATGTACAACAAGGGTTAGGTGGAGTGAGCCCCTTTACAGTTTTTCAGTGATGGTCACCAGTTCTCCCACAATCACTAATCAAAACCTCAGAGCAGAAAGGAGAGATCTGTTTTGATGTTTCACTCAACGTCATTGCCAGCCTTGATTTACTGTGTGGGTAAAAGTAAGTCAGAGAGGCAGAAAATGTTCAATTCTCTGGAAGTCATGATGAGTTTTACCCCCGTCATTCTCTAATCTGAGTTGTTACTTCTCACAATGTCAGGCCATTCATTTAGATTTGCTCAAACGCACTCATGTGGTGAAAATACATAAACACTTTCTTTTTTTCATTCCTTTTGAGGGATCACAAAATCACCGCCCTGTGGTTATTCATTTTCTGCTAAAAATGTCTTCTAATAGCTTTTTCCAAATGCGCTGTTGGATTTCTAATCCATTTCACCCTGGGAAACATTTTAAGTCAACACAATGACTGACACTGTACACACAATGTGTTGACTGGGATTTAGTGCTCTTAACCTCCTTCGTGAGCAATGTGAGGGTGTCCTCACATTGCAAGCACTTGGTTCTCTTGGTGCGTCCTGAGCGGTCCGCTCTGATGCCTAGAAAATATAAGATCTCAAACAGCAGTGAGGCTGAGAGCTTATCTGCAAAAACATACGAGGAGGAGTTTTTTGGATGTCTCAATTAAATCAAGAGTGTGGCAGGCTACAACATTTTAATCAGCGTCACGAGCCAAATGGATTTGCAGAGGATGGGATGTCTCCCTGCCAAAAGCACGCAGTGATCAGTAAAGGAGAGCTTATTAAATGGAGGTGGTCACGGCGCTGGCGCTTAACTTCCCATCGGCACACATTTCCTGCTGTCTCAGGGATTCTTTCCACTCTCTTTAGACACAATTATCAAGGGAAAGGCAGGCCTTGAGGAGGACGCGCTCTCTCTCTCTGTCTCTCTCTTTCTCTCTCTCTCTCTCTCATCCCCTTTCCAAAAAAAGCCTCTTTCTCTCTCTCTGAGTCTCCCTTTCTCATCTGCAGAGGGAGTAGCCTTGACCACATTCTGGAGTCTGAAAAGCATCTTTCACGCAGCTATTTAATAGCTTGTAGGATTTCGCCCTCTAGTGGCAGACATGTGTTTTTGCATGGATTCAGATTTTTCCTCGTTATGGCTCATTTCAAGACTCTTGGCAGGGACTGAATATTTTACACACTCATCTGCACTTATCATAAATACCATGAAAAAAATGTTACGCGTTTATTTATTCAGGCAGTTTGATTCAAAAATCAGAAATTCACTACAGATTCACAACACAGAATAAGTACTAATCGATGTCAAAGTTAATATAGTTAATTAGCCGTAAAACATAGTTTCTCTAAAAAAAACTTCCGTATGTATATTGCTGTATATTATTTCTTAATTCAACTCTATTGAGATTCCTCACTGAATAATCTTGTATTTTTCCTCTATAAAGGCTGTTCCTGCTGGTCCTAGGATGCCCACCAGTGGAAGCTTAGGGGTCCAATCACCACCGCAGCCATCAGCGACTAGCAGCCAGCAGAAAGGCCCGGCCAGAGGCCCACCCATGCAGAGACAGGTTAACCTGCAGCAGCACTCCATCAGCAACACAGTAAGCTGCATTTAGAGCTGAGACAGTAACTGTTCAGCGTTGGTCAAGCAAAGGCTGACAATTATTTGACTAATCAGATTTTCTGCCAGTTATTTAATCTGATTTTTAGAAATGGACACATTCGTCAGATTTCTTAGAAGCTACTTATTCAATGTTTGAAATACGTTAGAAGTAACAAATAAAAAGCGAACAAGTTGTTGCGTAAAATGTGATGACTTGTTGCAAAATCTGCATCTGGAGATAAAAAAAAAAACTTCTAACATCAACATATGAAAAGCTCAGCATTTCTGTTTAACTTATCAATACAATGTAGAGCAAATCTGGTGAATGTTACCTGGATTAACTGATTAATAATTTGATAGCAAAAGGTGATTAGTAGGAGATTTTTTTGTTTTTTACAGAATTGTTACCAGATGAAGCTAAAAGTTTTGAATAGAACAAATTGATTTATTTATTATCGATGACTAAATTAGTTGATGATTATTTCTGTAACTGATACAATTAATCCGATTATTTCAGTTTGTTAAGCATCCATTGTACATTTCTAAATTTTTCTCTGCTTTTCAGGATAAAGATAACACACATGATCAGTTCAGTCGACATCTCACAAGACCACCTCCGGATTACAAGCAGTCGAGAAGCTTGGTGGGGATTCAGCAAGCAAATATCTTTCCAGGTACTCTGCTTCTAAACATTACATGCAAATTAGCGTCAGCGTAAATCCTGGCTGGCAATCTTGAAACTGACCAGGTTTTATGTCTCTTTAGGTCAGAATCCCAGCAATGGTCCTGACAATAACCTGCAGTCCATATCTTGCCAACTCTCAAGCGGGCCTACTTCAAAGATGAACCCTTTACCATCGGATCGCAGATTCGGTATCAGGCCAGACTGCCACCCCAGCTCCTGTATCGGCCAATTCCAGCAGCAAAACAGTCACAGTCGTATAGGACTGAGTCAAAGTAAACCAAGGTTTCTGGCACCAAGCACACAGGGGAAATCCTTTGGGATGAACAATGTAGCAGGTGTGCAACATCAGAGGGCGACAGCTGACTTGCATTCCTCCAGGGTGCCAGTACAGAATCTGGGAGGCTCGATGACAAATGTCAGTCTGAGCTGGGGGTCAGCCAACAAGCAAGTGGCAGCTGGACTTCGGCGTCTGCCCAACCCGCTGCAGTTGCAGGGTGTGCAAGACCTGCCGAACCACCCGTACCAGCAGAGGCACGTCGGACCGCCCAACCAGGTAGCACCAGACGCAGGGATGCCGTCCCTCGGAGACGCAGGCCAAGCCAGACCGAGTCAGGCCATGATGGGCTGTCCATCCCCTCTGGGAAACCTGAGCCAGGCCTCTCCTGAACAAAGGGTGCCAGCAGCCAGCTTTCCAGATGCCAGTCCCAGTTCAAGCAGCTACCAGAACAACAGATCCAACCGTCTGACCTTCGACTTCCTCCCAGAAGGGGACAACACCGTCCCTGGAATCAATGCAGACTCAGACTTCATTGACTCCCTGCTTAAGTCGGGCTCCGGAAATGACGACTGGATGAAAGATATAAACCTGGATGAGATTCTGGGAAGTCACTCCTAAGTTTAGATTACAAACTGCAAAAAATGTACCTGCAGCTCAGATGATAGAGTTTATATCTGTAATGTAGAAGGGTTACAATTTGTAAGTATTGTTCAAAAAAATTTTATAAATCCAAATTAATTGTTATTCATGTAAACACATTTTCTTGGTTTTGTATTTACTGTGAAATAAATGTATGTTTGTGTTGGCAGTACGCATCTGTCTCCGGTATATTCCCCCAAGAAACTGCTTTCCTGGTTTTGTTTTTGTGGACTGTATTTCATGCATTAGTGCTGTTATAACATCAAAAAATACACACTGTGAAAAGAAAGTTACTTCTAAAGTCACTTGGCTCCAAGTTTCTTACCCCACATTTAGCATGTTCTAGTATTTACCACACTGAATTTTCCAAAACAAACGTTTTCTCTTTTTGTTTGGCCATTTTCATCTGTGGTAGTTTAAAATGCTGTTTTAAATAATGTAACCCTTATTTTTCTCATGTGATATTTAATACTCGGAATAGTAATTAGGGAATATAATACATGTAATTAATAAAATTTATTTGAATAAAATAGAAGTTTACTTCTTTTTCTTTAACAAGACTTGACATTAAAGATACTACACCCTTTCACTGTAGAGTGGAACGACTAGTAGAATAAAAAAAAACATCACATAAATAAAACTTGTCTGACAATGTGAAGTAGACGCAGATCTCAGTGTAATTAAATTAAAGCACAAATGAGATAAAACACAATGAGTAACATTTTCTGCAAATGGAGAAACAGTGTCAATCATCCAGGTAGTCACAGAAACAAAGCAACACCTTAGCCTTACTAAGAAAACCTCTTCAGAAACAACCAATCAGAGCCAGAGGGAGGACTGGTTTGCTGTTGATGTGCCAAAACAACTTACCGTTACAGCGTTTATCCGCCTTCATCAGTGGCCATGGTTACTATCCTGCATGCCACAGCAGGCTCCGCTGTGGGGAAGGAGCTGTGGCTTAGCAGAGGAGGTCAGTGCTTGAAAACACAATAGCAATCTCTGAATGGTTCATGAAATCAAAAAAAAAAAGGCTCTTCTTAAACCTTCTGAGATGCTGCGGCATGGCAGTAAAGAGGTCATTAATTCTCAACAACCCTTCCAGAGTGTCCGAATCAAAGCAAAGCAAAATGGACCAAAATTCCTCCACAAAGACGTTAAAAGATTTAGAAGAGGACTGGAGATCAAGTCCAGGTCGAGAGCTACCGCCCTGCAGCTTTTAGATGCGTTCCTTTTCTAACACACCTGCAGCAAATGAATGGTTGGTTCTGAGGCTTCTGGAGAGCTGAGGTACTGTCCAGCTCAAGATTTATTCACTGAACTTTTTGAATCTTGGTGTAAAATCACATGAAAACATTTTCTATTCAATCCTTCCAGTAGAGTTCAATGAGGGAAACAAAGTTTTTGCAAATTAAAATGAAAAAACCCAAGAAGTCACCTTCATCCAGCTATTCACGTCTTTATGGATCCACATTTGGCAGCAATTCCAGCCTCAAGCCTCTGATGCCTCATCTGACTTTTGGTTTTAGCCTTTCTTTGAAGTTCTTTTCCAGCTCCATCGGGTTGGATGCAGAAATCTGTTCAGCCACTTTCAGATCGCCCTTGGTTTTCTGTTTTTAATAAACTTGCAAAATACATTGAAATAACAGAATATTTGTGAATAAAACTAATTTAATACAACTTCAAATAAGGTTGCAACATAGTGAATTCTTTCCAGATGTACTGTATTACAATAGACATTTTATAAAACTTGATTGATATATAAATGAATAAAAACACTTTGAACACAAATGAAATTTAAAACAATGTATATACTTTATTTAAGGCCAATTTCAAAGTATCATATAAAGAAATGTATTATGTAACAGAATTTATTGTTCTAAAACACATGCACATATCAAAAATGAACATTACCGAAAATAAATTCATTTCATGTGCATTTAGAAAACTCTAAATACTCAAAAAAGAAAATTAACTTGTGATTAGTTCTACTGCTAAAATGAGCCAACAGCTAATTTTCTCACAATTTACACTCTAGGTAAGAATAAAAATCAGTTGAGTGACAAAAAAAAAAAAAAAAAAAAAAAAAAAAAGCATCGCTGCATTAAATGAAAACTAGCCGTGTTATGGAAGCATTGTGGGGTACCACTTATTTTAGTTGCATTGTTCTCTCCAAACACTGTTTTAAAATCCATCAAAACATGGTTTCATAATCAGTAAAAATCTGTACTACAATGAAGTTCTCACACAAAATGACAAAAAAAAAGTTAATGTCCTCTAATCTAAGATACATGTTTAAGCATGTGCTCCATCAAGTTAATGCTATCGATTCACTGTTGGGCTGGCAACAGAATCAGCGGGCCATCCAGCAAGGCCTCTATCAAGATTATCCAAAAGGTTACTGCAGTTAATGCGCAGATGTAGCCACCATGTAAACATCGCCACGATCACGAGAGAAACTGTTGGTGTGTCGTCTGCACAGCGGCCGGAGCATTTTTTTGTAAAATTATGTAAACATGCGCTCGCTGTTCGAAAATCACTTTCACCTTTGTTCTGAAACCTCAGAACCTCTCCGCCAGAACGGGTCAGATGCGTCCGATAACACTTAAAAACAAACAGAAAACATCTCATTAGCTTATACGGTTTTGTTCATGCGGAGGCCGATTGACGTTTCTCGATCCCGACGATGGAAGTGAAAAATAAGGGTAGTGTCATTAGAAGAAAAAAAAACTAAAATAACCAAAAAACTAAAAAAAAAAAAATTAAAATAGACAAAAAAAAAACATCTTTGGAATTGTGACTGAAATATCTGATTGATTGTGAATTATCCCATTAAACATCAAACAAACACACACACACTGTGTAACTTACAGCAATAAGCCAAACCCTTTTCCTTCTTGGTTACGTTTAAACATGACTCTAAAACCTGCTTTAACTTGTCCAAGCCCAGCCGATTGTTGCTTCTCCCAGACGCTCAACGCAGCATCACACAGAGCGCTCAGGTTCAAACGTTGTAAATTCATATATCCTGTCACATGCTTGAACTGATTTGAGCTATAACATCTGTCGAGTCTACCGATCTTCCTTTTTTGGTTAATATTTCGCAGAGAAAGAATAAAAATTCAGCTTGCGACGTATAAAAACGCAAAAATACTAATAGGTGAATATATATTGTAAAGCAAAAGTAGAGAGAATCAGAAGATAGATAAACAAGTCAGAACGATTTAGTTCGTTTCTTGGAAGAGAGAATCTGGTGCTCTGATAACAGTTGACCCTGTTAAGTTATTAAAGTTAGAGAAAAGAGCAAAATAACCCCCCGCCCCAAAGAAAACGTGTTTTTTTTTTTCTTTTTTAAATCTAAGCTATTATACATGTGTAACAAGCTACAAATAAAACACACTTTTCAGGTTAGGCTTGGATAAGAATGAGAGAAAAAGAAGCTACGGGTAAGAAAAAGATCCCCAAATATCACCTTGTGTTTATAAAACATAATACAGTTTGATTATTAAAACAATTAACATGCGGCTTATGAATACAGCCTGACGCCCATCATTGCATTATACATACTGGGTAAATTGTTCGAGTTGCTCGCGTCTTTAAAAAATACATCCGAAGGCACTTGATCTATTAAAGGTTTAACTTAGACTTGCTGGCACAGCCAAGCAGCGATGTCGACGGTCCCCAGTTTCAAACCCCACCCCAACAAAAAAAGCAAAGCCACCAACTCCAAATCGCGCCTCAAATTACCTTCACTCCAAATCAGTATTGTTCTTTATGCTTTGAATACATCATTTTTGGTTTTTCAGGCTTGTTAAAAGAAAAGAAAAAAACAAATTGTTTGAGGCAAACATAAAGCTATTTAACTAAATTCAATAGTCCAAACGCAGATGCTTAGTGTCGCACTGCAAAAACAAGAGAGGCTCCAGAGGCTCCGGGTGGGAAGCAACATGGGCAGTCCTCGCAGAAGAACACGTGCACTTGGTCACTTCAGCTACCGTCTGCGTAAATAAGCTGACAGACCTGTGAACATTTTTGGGGCCCTTGCATAATTGTCTGTTCATAGGCCAGCCTTGAAGACACAGACAAATTCAAAAAGATAAAAACACAAGTGAAAAAGATCAGAATACTGCCTGAAAAGAGGTTAGGCCTTACATGCTGAGAGGCACAGAAGTTCAGAGAGGCTCGCTGAAATGTCTGGTAAAAGCATCTATGAATCCTTCACAGATCAGAGCAGGCGATAGTTCAGAGCTCAACGGGGAACGAGTGGTACGGAGCGCCCCGTCCGGCCGCGCCCGGCCTGGGTCCTCTATAACCACGTCAGGAAGTTCTCCTTGTCGATCTTGGTAGCCGCCAGCACAGACTCCATGTCGCTGAGGATGTCGGAGCTCAGCGGCTCCTGCAGACTAGCCATCAGCTCCTCGCCCTCCACCGCCATGCTCTCGCCCTCCAGCGTGCCCAGGTCCACGTCGGTTCCTGGGATGGCGTCCAGGTAGTCGGGGAATCGGCTGGGCTGCGATGCAATGGAGGCTGGGAGAGGGTCCCCTGATGGACAGAAGATGACATTTTTTGTTGGTTCAAGCCTCAACAGGAAGTGATGACAGAACCTAAATAAATCACTTTACAAAAGAAACCTAAATACAGCTGAACTCAATCGGAAGCATTTTGTTTTGATTTTATGTGGTGAACAAACAATTGGGTGTTACATTATTATAATGCAGAACAAAACATGTTCCTCTGACTTTATGCTGTTCTCCACAAACCTTTTTGTATTCACAGAACAGCACAAATTAGTGAACTTCTGACACCCAACAAATGGCTGTAGTTTTCAGGCAAAAAGGGGACAGAATTCAAATTTTCCATATTTTCTATTTAGAAAACACATTCTGAAAACTGCATAATTCACTTCACTTTTCTGCACTCCTTTGTATGGATGTGCAACATAAAACCAGAATGAGATACACTGATGTGTGTGGTGGCAACGTGACACAATGTGAGAAAGTTGCAGAGGTGTTTACCTTGACTTTACCCACAAGTTTGCTGCCAAAACTTTGGCTCGTTATCAGCAGGGTGGCGGCTGCACCATTGGCTCGGATGACTTCCACGTGGCTGAAACTTTGGTTTTTGTTCAAGAATTTGAGGGAAACATAAACTACAATCAAGGAGATATTTTCCATGGGAATTTGCTTGTAATTTTTCGGGAGCAATTACTGCTAGACCTCATTCTGTAGGTATTTGAAAGTTTTGCTTCAGAGAGGCTCTGTGATCGCCCAACTGGCCAGCCTGCAGTCCAGATGTGTCTTCCATTAGA